GGTCTGGTGTGACGACATGTTTGTCCACCATCCTCCCCAGGATTTGAATCGAATCCTTGAGAATCTCACACTTCGATGGCTTGCATTTTAGTCCTGCTCTTTTCATGCAAGCGAACACTTCGTCTAGTCGTTCGACGTGATCCTCTAGAGTAGGTATCGCAATCACCACGTCATCCACGTAACACATTACCAAATTGCCACATTTCTTCGTTACACTTGTGCCATCAATCGTTGGAACATGGCTGTAGCATTGCAAAGGCCAAAGGGCATCCTCTCCTATTGAAACAGTCCCAGCTCGCAAGCAATTAATGTCTGGTCCCTGTCCTGTTTCCTCAGTGGTACCTGCCAAAAAGCCGACCCGTAATCAAGAGTTGTGAAAAAAATTGCATCTCCTAGTTTCGAGAGGCTCTCATCAATCCTAGGTATGGGATAGGCATCCTTCACCATGACGGAGTTCAGATACCAAAAGTCACAACAAAACCATAGTTGGTCTCCTTCCTTCTTAGTCATCACTACTCCACACGCCCACGGTGATTTGGATGATTCTATCATATCATATTCTTGTAGGGTCTCTATCTCTTTTCTGCATGCATCCGATTTGTTAGGGGTCATACACATCGCCCCCTCCCTATGTGGTACCGCCGACTCCTCAAACTCTAACAACACCATCTGAACAACACTTCCGTCTGGTATAGCTGTGGTAATATGGTGAGATTATGCCTGTGTTTTACCTTCTCCTCTTCTTTCCCCCTGCACGCTATCACTCCATCAGCTGTGTGATAGAGTAAGTCCCTTCTCTCTTTGTAGAACTGGCTCAAGATCTTGTAACTATCCTCCTCCCCGTCTCCTTTCTCCTTGACTGCCGTCATGATCAATTTAGAGAGGTTGCTGGTCATTTTGTCATTCTTCTGGGCTCATATCGGTCCGACAGTCTGTTTCTCGCTTTGACGTGTTTCTTCAACATCATCATTTGACCATTCAGTTCTCCGGGACTGTGGATGTCGTCTTTTAGCTTAACACAAACTATCCTTCTCAAGACCTCCCTGTCATCATCCGGTTCCAAATTCGTCCTGACATTTTAATTGCACGATAGCTCCCTGAATGGTTTCCTTGACACAACTATTTTCTCAAGCTCTTCTCCTCGGTTGCTCTATGTTGTACGTCCCTGAGGAAGGTTCAGTTTGTAGTTTTCTGACCAGGTGCCTCATTTTCTCTTCTGCTAATATCATGCAAAGACTGTATTGGTCATCACCACTCTTCTCTGAGTCACCCTCGCATTCTTCCTACTCCCCGAAAAAATTCTCTCCTCACTGTCTCATTCTGTTTTCGGCCACTCCTCGGACTCTTGATTTAGTCCGAAGTGTTCGGCTTCCTCCTTGAATGACATTTTCTTCTTCCGAAACGTAGTCCGTCTTAATAAGTCCTCCGGAATTTTCTCGACCAGTGTTCGCACAACTTCTTTGTAGTCAGGTTGCTTGCCTATCCTTGAGTCTTCGCCATGAGCTGCTTGCCCTCTTTTCCATATGGTGGCTTCCAGTTTATCTTTGTTATTGTTCTGGATTACAGGTTTATCGTCTGCTTGTTTCTCGAGTAGTCTCATCAAATCCTCTCCAATCGTTACCCTTCTTGTCACCACTTCATCGAGGTCGTAGCCTTTGCTTTTAGTGTTTCCCTCACTATCTTCGACTTGAGCATCATTTCCATTGGCATCCGTGAATTTCTCTTGAGAATTTCTTTCGCCTCATGTTCAACTGGTAGCTCGGAATGGTCATCTATTGGTTTCCCTGACTTGTCAAGCCACCTACTGAGTAGATGACTGTCATACGTATCTTTGTCCATGAATGAAAAAACATCTCCTGTCTCTCGTAGAATTCCGTCTTCTTGCTCAAGCTGTCGGCATTTTGACTCTACTCACTTGTTCTGTGTTCAATAATCATGTTATAACCATCCAAGCGCACTATCCACCTCCCAATGTAGCTCTGGTCCATTGAGTACGTTTTCAACCTACTGAGTGCTCTGTTGTCGACCCGTAACTTGAAAGGCTCGCTAACCAGAAATGCCCTGTATTTTTCTACAAAGGTAACTACCGTAAACCTTTCCGCTTTGGGTGCCCCGTATTTCATTTCTGTATCATTCAAGACTTTGCTCACGTAAGCTATAGGTCTCAAGACTGCCTTTCCGTTCAACTCCTGTTCTTGATGGAGTATTCCAGAGATCGTACCACCAATGCATCCGTATCCAGCACATACATTGCCTTTTCTGCGGGCGTCCCTAGCACAGTTGCTTCACACAGCTCTCTCTTTATTCTCTTAAATGACTCCTCTGCCGCGTTATTCCACGTGAATTTCTTGCCCTTGTGCCTCATGAGTTGTTGCATTGGATATACTTTGTCCGCATAGCCCTTGATGAACTACCTGCAATATTTTGCAAAACCCAGGAAGCTCATTAGCTGATGCTCCGTTTTCGGTGGTTTCCAAGTCGGCACCGCCTCTACTGCGTCTGGGTCTGGTCTGATGACATGTTTGTCCACCATCCTCCCCAGGTTTTTAATCGCATCCTTGAGAATCTCACACTTCGATGGCTTGCATTTTAGTCCTGCTCTTTTCATGCAAGCGAACACCTCGTCTAGTCGTTCGACGTGATCCTCTAGAGTAGATGTTGCTATCACCGAGTCATCCACGTAACACATTACCAAATTGCCATATTTCTTCGTTAAACTTGTCAGTGCATGTGCATTCAATCGTTGGAACGTGGCTGTAGTACTGTCTTGTCCCTGTCCTGTTTACCTGTGGTACCTGCCAAAAAGCCGACCCTTAATCAAGAGTTGTAAAAAATATTGCATCTCCTAGTTTCGAGAGGCTGTCATCAATCCTAGGTATGGGATAGGCATCCTTTAACATGACGGAGTTCAGATACCGAAAGTCACAACAAAACCTTGGTTGGTCTCCTTTCGCCTTAGCCATCAATACTCCACACGCCCACGGTGATTTGGATGGTTCTATCATATCATACTCTTGTAGGGTCTCTATCTCTTTTCTGCATGCATCCGATTTGTTAGGGGTCATACGCATCGCCCCCTCCCTATGTGGTACCGTCGAAAAAACGTCCTGATTCCGATCTGGCATATCCTTGATGGCTTGGAGCTGTTCGTCCGTTACCTAGCACCTCATGTGTTCTATTGCTGGTAATACCGGTTTAAACATCTCCAATTCCTCTATTGTGGGTCTTTCCGAAAAATTCGAACACCTCGAAAGTCCATTATTTCAAATCTAGTTTTCACAGGTAGTGCGTATCCCAGCTTCCTTCCCCTCTGGATTGTGATTGGTATATCAAGAGTATTCAACAAGACTCTGACGCAGAGGCCACTCTTGGTTATCGAGAAGGATCTTCCCAAAATAGCAACACTTTGACTATTCGGATTCGGCATTATGCATACTTGTTTATTGTCACTTAGTTCAATTAAGTTTTTCATCCGCAGACTTACTATCGCCGCCTCATTTGCCTTCAGCCCTACTCTCCTATACAAGAAAACTGGAGATTTATTTTCATTCACCTTTATCACATTTACCGGTTTAAATACGTACTTCCTTTCCGGGTTCCGAATCCTGAAGATCAATTGTTACATCGAAATTCCTGATGAAATCTCTGCCTAAAATGAATTGGTCAGACTCATCTAGATTCTCCACTACCAGAAAACTCATGCAAAAATTGCTTATTCCAGATTTTGGGCTATTATTCGTGTCCTACCTAGAACCCGCACCGCCCTTTTGTTTGCCGCTGATAGCCGTATTCTTGAGTCTATCAAGTCATCTTTGTCGAACCCCAAATTTTCCATGTTTCAATTGGTATATTACTCAAGACGGCTCCTGTGTCCAATAACCAACGCAGTTGAGTCTTGTTCCCGCTTGTGTCCAGTACGTGTGCAGATACGTCTGCCTCTGTTCCCAGATGCATTGCATCTTCTTCTAACATAGCGTTGTGTCCAATCGACCTCACTTTTAGTTCCTCTCTACCAACTTAGATGTGCCCGGCTAGAACTTCATCACACGTTATCATCGTTTTTGTGTAGATGTTTATTCCATCTATATTCAAAAAGACCTCAAGTGGACCATAGGTTTCTGTGGATCTGTTGTCTATACGAACTGATTTACTACCACCTCTCGTCAGTAATGCCCTTAAATTCTAGAAGGGATTTGCGGGCTTATTGCGCTCAAGTAATCCGCGTACACATCTATGTACATTACTGTCTGATCACTCGATTCACTCAAGTTTCTTGTTACTTCGTGGCCGCCCACTGTAATTTTTGACATGATTCTTGCCCCAATTTTCGTGATGCCAAATGGTTTCCCAGTCACCATTTTCAAGGTGTTGCAAATACTCTTCTCATTTTGTTCTCTCCGCTTCTGTTTCTGGTCTTGTCATACAGAGTGTTTCAATCAATCTCTGTTTTTCTAATTCCTGTTTCAGCCGTTGCTCGATTTCTTTGGTGCCAAGTCTTGCTTGATTTTGTTGATGGCAGCTGCTTTTTCGTAGTTTATCTCTAGTGAATTCTTCGTCTCAGCCCCAGTGGCATCTTTGACTTGTGTCACGGCCTTCACTGTCTTTTTTGATAATTCACAACTCGCTACTTCTTTATTATGCAGATTTTTTTCAGCTTGTCTGTTCCTGTTTTTCGGGAATGAGCACTTCTTTGGTTTCATTAAAATGTACTCTCTTGAATTTTGTCTCGTCAACTCTGGGATTGGTGCATTACCTTTTGATAGTGTATAATATGTTGCCAACCGCTTTCTCAAGTCGTCACTTCTCATCCCAACAATAAACTTTGAAGCGATGCTGAAGCTTCTTCTGTTTGTCGATTCTTCCGGGTCGCTTCTTCTCCTCAAGCTCTCAAGATCATCCAGAAATTGATCGATTGACTCGTCTTGTCTTTGTCTTCTTTTTTCAAATCTCATCATAGCTTGATGACCCTTCATTCCTGATCCGATTCGATTCAACAGTATCTAGAAGATTTTGTCCGCTGTACCATGCTCCTCCTCGTTCTTTGCTACTACGCACTTTGTGCCTTCTAGATTGCTTAGTATTGCTGTGCAGGCCTGCATTTCGTCCTTCAGTTTGTCCTGTTCTAGATCTAGTCTCATGACTTCTACCCAGGTGTCAATGCAGCCATCCGAGTCGTCTTTAAATTCTTTTGATTTCTTGAAGGTCTTTCTGGATTTACCACATCCTCTGTCACTCGAATCTGTATTCCTTGTTGCAAATGCTTTAAGTGTCCTGTTCATCATTTCCCAGGTACTCGCCTTGGTCATGGCGTCAGGTGTTACACCTGTGTGAGTACTCGAGTCCACCGGTGCATTCGTCGAGCTTGAGGTTCCACTAATCATAGTAGTCTTGGACCCTACTGCCCCTATGCTCGTTGAAATCCGGGGTAACGGTGTCGACTCCCTTTTCTTCCGTTGCGGTTCTACAAAGTCAACTCTAGGTCCCTGTGGTTTGTCTGCCACTAAATTATCTTGTGCTATAGAGTTTCTCTTGAGTGCATCCAGTTTATACTGTATGGCACAAGAACTTTCAGCGTGATCCTTGCGCATAGTATCCACTCTGGTCTCTAGGTTCAACAACTTCTCATTCACGGTGTCATACCGTTTCTTCATTTCATCCATATCCTTCTTGATATATTTTCCTCGCTCTTTGTCGGTAGTCTCTACCTCGTCCGACATCTGTTGTAGCTTTTCTTCCGTGGCCTTTGCTAAGACATAGTAACTCTCCAGGTTCTCGTTTTTGTTGTGTCTTATTTCCTTTTTCAGCTCTTGGCGGTCCTCTTCACTGCACTTTAACTTTTTGTCTTTTTTATTTAATTTTGTCTTTAAGTCTCCCAGCTCTACTGAAGTTGTTTTCGATCCATCAGCTCGTTTATCTTGGCTAGATGTCGCTTCTTGCGTGGCTTCTTCTTTATCATTCCTGGTTTCCAACGTTATCGTGGAAATTTTCCCAAAGGTTTTGCTTTTCTCGGTCAATGCAGTTATCTCCTCCTTGGCTCGTGGCTTCATTCCGACCATCGCAGCAATCCGCTCTTTGAATGATGTTCTCTTCGTTTGTGAGTCATCTTTTAACGTCTCTGGTGTATTTGTCGCCTCTTCTCCATTTCCTTTTGGTGAGAATTCTATGGTTTTCTTTTCCTGTTCTTCTGTATTTGGCATCGGTGTGGACTCCGTTGTCCTCCCTTCCATTCCATCTATACTTTGATCTGGTGTCTCTAGTTCAGTCTCTTTTGCTTGTATGCTTTGTTCTTCCATTGTTTTTTCTTACGCCATCTGTTCCTTGTTGCTTGTTATGCTAACCTTATTCACTGAAATATTCTTCGTCCTTTCTCACGGATTTATTGGTGTTATTTTCTTCTGCGTTGAGGTCTGGTTTTGCTTAAGTCCTTTTCCCTTTCTTTCAGTTATCGACACCCTATTTCTTTTTATGATTTTTGTATTTACTATTTTCTTTATCTACAATTTTAATATTTATAAGTCCCCACTGTAAAATATGATTGAAATTATAAGAAAATTCCCTAATGTATTAAAAATTAAACCCAGTAAAATTAGTCTAAATTAGTTTTGAGTCCCGTTGTTCAAGCCTTAGGATCCTTCCTTCTAGTGTACTGTCCCTGGATTTCTTGGTACTCTCCTAGTACCCTTCGCTCAAGTGTTGGGATACTTCGATGAAGTCTTGTACACTTTGGTACTGTCCTAGTACTTTTATGTACCCTCCTAGGACCCTTCGCTCAAGTGTTAGGAATCTTCGTTACTGTCTCAGGACTTTTCTGAACTCTTCTAGGACCCTTCGCTCAGGTGTTGAAACACTTCGTTGCTCTCCCAGGACTTTTCTGAACTCTCCTAGGACCCTTCGCTCAGGTGTTGGTACACTTCGATGCTGTCCCAGGACTTTTCTGAACTCTCCTAGGACCCTTCACGCAAGGGTTGGTACACTTCGTTGCTATCCCAGGACTTTTCTGAACTCTCCTAGGACCCTTCGTTGCAGTGCTGGGACAATTAGATCACTATCCCAAGACTGAGTGTTGGGACACTTAGATCACTATCGCAAGACTGCCGGCGAAACTCTTGTACTTCTTCCCACCTTTTAGCTCAAATGTTTCTTCGCCTGATTGAAGAAATTCCCCGTACTTTATGTCGAGTATTGGGATACCTGATCCACTATCCCAGTACCACATCTGGAGCTCTTGTATAAAAAATAAACCCCAAAATCCAATTCTGTTCACCAAAAATTGCTTTACTAAGTCCCCTATAATTGCCTTCCCTGTTTCAATCCGATGCAAGTCAAAACACGACTTGTTTGTTATTCTATAACTTTAGCCGATTCGTTAAAATTCTCTGAAATCTGGCCAAAAAATGTAAAAACTTTGCGAACTACAAAAACCAGAAAGTTAAGTATAACTAAAACTCATAGGCGACATATGCTGTTTTTCGTTAAAAAATGTCTGGTACCTGACTGTCAGGCGTTTTTCCTCCCCCCTACTAGCAATCTTATGGGGTATTCTCCTTTTTTGGGTTCCAAAAACAGTCTATTTCCGATCCCCCCACCCGATCCGACCAGGTTACCTACCTTATTTCGATCTTAAATTTGGATCTCCTCGCGTTGCAACTCATGTTCTGAGTCTATTGATTGATCGTTCCAGACTCTGGGTCTACTAATGTAACTAAAATTGACAATATCGATTGTATAGTTACTATAATGTGTAACCCCTCTTTTACAATTTTGAACCGCCAACCTCTATCTAACCAGCCCCCTTCTAACCTCCCCCCTATCTATCCTCGCACTTAAGTCGAAAACTACCCTTCAGCGCAATGAGTGCTAAACCTCTCGAGTGAAAGTCCGTAGAATCTGTTTCCAAGCTCTGCTCAAGTTAAAACGTTTCCTCATACATATCCTCATACGTTTCCTCATACGTATCTTTGTCCATGAATGAAAAAACATCTCCTGTCTCTCGTAGAATTCCATCTTCTTGCTCAAGCTGTCGGCTTTTTGATGTTTGTCACTTGTTCTGTGTTCAATTATCATGTTATAACCATCCAAGCGCACTATCCACCTCCCAATGTAGCTCTGGTCCATTGAGTACGTTTTCAACCTACTGAGTGCTCTGTTGTCGACCCGTAACTTGAATGGTTCGCTACCCAGAAATGCCCTGTATTTTTCTACAAAGATGACTACTGTAAACCTTTCCGCTTTGGGTGCCCCGTATTTCATTTCTGTATCACTCAAAACTTTGCTCCCGTAAGCTATCGGTCTCAAGACTGCCTTTCCGTTCCACTCCTGTTCTTGGTGGAGTATTCCAGAGATCGCTACCACCGATGCATCCGTATCCAGCACGTACATTGCCTTTTCTGCGGGCGTCCCTAGCACAGTTACTTCGCACAGCTTCTCTTTATTCTCTTAAATGCCTCCTCTGCCGCGTTATTCCACGTGATTTTCTTGCCCTTGTGTCTCATGAGTTGTTGCATTGGATATATTTTGTCCGCATAGCCCTTGATGAACTACCTGCAATATTTCGCCAAACCCAGGAAGCTCATTAGCTGATGCTCCATTTTCGGTGGTTTCCATCTCGGCACCGCCTTTACTGCGTCTGGGTCTGGTCTGATGACATGTTTGTCCACCATCCTCCCCAGAATTTTAATCGAATCCTTGAGAATCTCACACTTCGATGGCTTGCATTTTAGTCCTGCTCTTTTCATGCAAGCGAACACATTGTCTAGTCGTTCGACGTGATCCTCTAGAGTAGGTGTCGCTATCACCACGTCATCCACGTAACACATTACCAAATTGCCAAATTTCTTCGTTACACTTGTCAGTGCATGTGCCATCAATCGTTGGAACGTGGCTGTAGCATTGCAAAGGCCAAAGGGCATCCTCTCCCATTGAAACAGTCCCAGCTCGCAAGCAAATACTGGCTTGTCCCTGTCCTGTTTCCTCAGTGGTACCTGCCAAAAAGCCGAGCCCTAATCAAGAGTTAAAAGAAAATTTGCATCTGCTAGTTTCGAGAGGCTCTCATCAATCCTAGGTATGGGATAGGCATCCTTCACCTGACGGAGTTCAGATATCGAAAGTCACAACAAAACCTTAGTCGGTCTCCTTTCTTCTTAGCCATCACTACTCCACACGCCTACGGTGATTTGGATGGTTCTATCATATCATACTCTTGTAGGGTCTCTATCTCATTTCTGCATGCATCCGATTTGTTAGGGGTCATACGCATCGCCTCCTCCCTATGTGGTACCGCCGACTCCTCAAACTCTATTTCATGTTCAACAAAATTACAGCATCCAATGTCTGCTTTATGTTTCGAAAAAACGTCCTGATTCCGATCTGGCACATCCTTAATGGCTCATCCGTCGATGGTGCCTGGCTCAATTTTTCCGGTGGTATATCCAGTGGCCGGTCAGTGGCTGTCCAACCGAAACAGGTTGCTCTGTTTTTAAATGATTCGTTGCAGATACGTCGACTTGCTGGATGCTTTGCTCCTACTTCTCGTCAGCCTCAAGGTTATGCAGCCATTCCAGTATCCTCAGCTTTGTTTTTCTCTTCTTTCTATCTCTCTCTGTTCTAGGTTCAATTTGTCTTTCTGGCATGGTGTGATCTTCTTGTAAAGAGTGTTCAGTGACGGTTATGATCTGCTACTCCTCATTGGCTACCAGCTCTTCCACGTTCACCAACTCCTCGCCTATCTCCTCGGGTTGTATCTCGTCAACCAAGAAGTCGTCACCATACCTGTTGTACCTCATGCCTGTCCATTTGCGATCGCCTTTTCCTGTCCCTGTGGACATAGGCAAGTCTGGTTTTGTCCACTTTGGTACCTCGTTCTGTTCCGGGTCATTCCGATCTTCCTCTGCGAAAGATCCTTCGTCCGAATCTACCTCTATATTTTCGTAATCATGCATGCTCACGTCCTCTTTGCCGTCATTCCTCTCTCTGGTGCCCTTCTCGTTCACCTCACATGCTGGGTCTACCAGTAGATACTCGAGTCGTTCCATATTCTGTGGTGTACACCAGTCTTCGGGAGATGGGACGTGAGGTTTCAGATTTTCGTATTGCGCCGCACGCCTTGTACTCAAGCGATAGAACTGGCCCTGCTGGTGTACCTCCGTTATCAGAAACGGTCCTCTCTTTTTCTTCAGTAACTTTTTAGTCACTTTTGAAGATATGATATTCTGGAACACCCAGACGTATTTTCCCACCGCATATGATTTTCCCTGAAGTTTTTTCACATCGTACTTCTTCCGCCGTCGCATATGTGCCTGCGCCGTGTTCTTTCTACAGAGCTCGCTCAATTTCTGTTGTCTCTTGACCGCTTCCCCCACATATGCCTGAGGCGACGTCTTTTTCCCTTCGTATTCTGGATAGAAGAATGTCAGGGACATCGCTCTCTCCCTGGCAGTCAACATCATGAAAGGACTGATCCCGGTTTTTGAGTGCTGCGTGCTGTTATACGCCCCTACCACTTGCGGTAGATAATTATCCCAATCTGTCATGTATCTCGAGCAATATACCCTGAGCATGTTCACCAGTGTTCTGTTCTGCCTCCCCACTAGTTTGTTCGTTTGAGGATGGTAGGTTGTTGAATGCGCTTGAGCAATGTGGGATCTCCTCATCAAATCTTTTGTTAGGTCCCCCATGAAGGCTTTCCTATTGTCCGATTGGGACAACCATATCGTGATATCCAGTGCATTATCAAATGATCACAAGTCTCTTCCTCTGAGGCCGTCTGACATGGTACCTCTTCTGCCGGTTTTGTAAAGTGGTCTATAATTACCAGTATCTGATTGTATCCCGAGTCGGTCATGCAGATCTTCTGATGGTCCATCTGCACGACGTCGTTAAGTTCCGAGCTTTCCACGGACTTACGTGTGAGTTTCATTTTTCTAGGGTCTTTCACTTGCAAACACGACAAACATGCGTTCACCCACCTTTCGCAAGCCTTTCTCAGCCCTGGCCGATCAATTCTGTGCAGTATTCTTTGCTGTATCTTGCTATCCCCTGATGTCCCATCTGGTCGTGCCATCTGAACAACACTTCCGTCTGGTATAGCTGTGGTAATATGATGAGATTATGCCTGTGTTTTATCTTCTCCTCTTCTTTCCCAGTGCACGCTACCACTCCATCAGCTATGTGATAGAGTAAGTCCCTTCTCTCTTTGTAGAACTGTCTCAAGATCTTGTAACTATCCTCCTCCCCGTCTCCTTTCTCCTTGACTGCCGTCATGATCAATTTAGAGAGGTTGCTCGTCATTTTGTCA